ACATCAAACAGCTGTCAGAAAGTAAGGAAACAGGCACGTGTCAAAAGGACACAGAAGTCATCCTGAAAGTGCTCCTACTGACCAAATCAAGAAAAAAATGTGAATGAGAATAGATAAATGAGATATTAGTGATAATAGCAACAATGATAATAACAGATTATAGCCCACTGAATAAATTAGGAATTGCTAAGTCCATGCAAGAAATAAATTGATTAATTAAAGGTTTAAGAAGGAACTGGGTATTTACATGATCTCAGAGCACATCCTCACACAAATATTTGTTAATTTACAAAGGCTAAAGGAGTAATTTTGTGATGGAGAAGCCTAGCAGACACTGTCTTAATCAAGTGATGAAAGTGAATATTCTCCATAAGAGGACAAATCAAAATTGGTTGCCTGATAGAATGGAATGAGAAGAGCCCAGCATCCAGCATTGCTTTTGTGATATTCCTGCCAACGGTATTTAACCTGAATCTAATCACAAGGAAACCTTGAACAAACCCAAATTGGGGGACATTCTATAAAATAACTGGCTTATAATCTTCAAAAATGTTAAGGTAATGGAAATCAAAAGACTGAAGGATGGTGCCCAACTGAAGGAAACATGACAGCACGAACAAGCTATTCTCAAATGGATTAGGTGGTAATAATAAAGCAATGTGAATCTTATGGTTGGTGTTTTGCTTTGTATTGTTTTGTTTTTTCTTCAAGTTTTTATTTCAATTCCAGTTTGTTAACCTACAGAGTTAATACTAGTTTCAAGTGTAGGATTTAGTGGTTCATCACTTACATACAACACTCAGCGCTCAGTACGAGTGCCCTGCTTAATACCCATCAGCCATTTAACACATTCCCCCCACCTTCCTATCTTCCAGCAACCCTCAGTTTGTTCTCTATAGTTAAGTCTGTTTTATGGTTTGCCTCTTTTTCCCATATGCTCATCTGTTTTGTTCTTAAATTCCACATGAGTAAAATCATATAGTGTTCGTCTTCCTCTGATTTATTTTGCTTAGCATAATATTCGGTAGCTCCATCCATGTCATTGCAAATGGCAAGATTTCATTCTTTTTGATGGCTGAGTAATATTCCATTGTGTATATATACCACCTCTTCTTTAACCATCATCAGTCAGTGGACATTTGGGCTCTTTTCATCTTTGGCTATTGTTGATAATGTTGCTATAAACATCAGGGTGCATGTAACCTTTCAAATTAGTATTTTTGTATCCTTTGGGTAAATACTTAGCAGTGCAATTGCTGTATTATAGGGTAGTTATATTTTTAACTTTTTACAGAACCTCCATACTGTTTTCCAAAGTGGGCTGCACCAGTTTGCATTCCCACCAGCATTGTAAGAGAGTTTCGCTTTCTCCAAGTCCTTGCTAACACCTCTTGTTTCCCGTGTTGTTAATTTTAGCCGTTCTGACCAGTGTGCGATGATACCTCATCGTGGTTTTGATTTGTATTTCCCTGACGATGAGTGATGCTGAGCATTTTTTCATGTGTCTGTTAGCGATCTGGGTGTCTTCTTTGGAAAAATGTCTATTCATGTGTTCTGCCCATTTTTTAACTGGCTTGTTTTTGGGGTGTTGAGTTTGATTAAGTTCTTTATAGATTTTGGATACTAACCCTTTATCAGATATATCATGTGCAAATATCTTCTCCCAATTCCGTAGGTTGCCTTTTAGCTTTGCTGATTGTTTCCTTTGCTGTGCAGAAGCTTTTTGTCTTGATGAGGTCCCAATAGTTTATTTTTGCTTTTGTTTCCCTAGCCTCAGGAGATGTGTCTGGTAAGAAGTTGCTACAGCACAGGTCAAAGAAGTTACTGCCTGTGTTCTCCTCTAGGATTTTGATGCTTCCCTGTCTCACATTTAGGTTTTTCATCCATTCTGAATTTATTTTTGTGTACGACGTAAAAACATGGCCCAGTTTCGTTCTGCATGTTGCTGTCGTTTTCCCAACAGCATTTATTGAAGAGACTGTCTTTTTCCCATTGGTTATTTTTCCTGCTTTGTCAAAGACTAATTGACCACACAGATGTGGGTTCGTTTCTGGATTTCCTATTCTGTTTCTTTTATCTGTGTGTCTGTTTTGGTGTAAGTACCATACTGTCTTGATCACTACAGCTTTGTGATATAACTTGAAGTCTGCAATCATGATGCCGCCAGCTTTACTTTTCTCTTTCAAGATTGCTTTGGCTATTCAGGGTCTTTTGTGGTTCCACACAGATTCTAGGGTTATTTGTTCTAGCTCTGTGAAGAATGCTGGTGGTATTTTGATAGGGATTGCAGTAAATGTGTAGATTGCTTTGGGTAGTATAGACATAACAATATTTGTTCTTCCAATCCATTAGCATGGAATGTTTTTCCATTTCTTTGTGTCATCTTCAATTTCTTCCATAAGTGTTTTATAGTTTTCAGAGTATAGCTCTTTTACCTCTTTGTTTAGGGTTATTCCTAGGTATCTTACGGTTTTTAGTGTGATTGTAAACGGGATCGATTCCTTGATTTCTCTTTCTGCTGGTTCATCACTGGTGTATAAAAATGCAACAGATTTCTGTACATTGATTTTGTTTCCTGTGACTTTACTGAGTCCGTGTATTAGCTGTAGGAATTTTTTGGTGGAGTCTTTTGGGTTTTCAGTATAGAGTATCATGTCATCTGCAAATAGTGAAAGTTTGGCTTCTTCCTTGCCAATTTGGATGCCTTTTATTTCCATGGTTGTTTTAACTATATTGTAGTTATGTAGGACAATGTCCTCACTCGTAGAAAATATATACTAAAGTTTGTGTGATGATGGAGCAGTAGGTTGGCAACTTACTCTCAAATAATTCAAAAAAAAATGTACTGTGTGTGCATTTTTTTCTGTGAGCTTGAGATTATTTTCTATATAAAAAGTGTAAAAATATAATCTCATTCTGTGTCTTGCATATACGAGTCCCTGATACAGTTCAAAGTTTGTCTCATTTTCTTTATTGTGATTGAATCCAACTTAAATTGAAATACAAAATGTTTAATGAACATAAATCCAATACATGTGGGAAAACAAAAGAGATCTGTACTAGTATTTACACTCTTTAATCTTTTTAAGAGATAAGAACTTCAGCATACACTTAGACCTTTCACCCCATGAGATAAATAAACAGACAGTCTTCAAGATAATCGGTGCTATGTAGACTTTTTTAGTCTACTAAAGTCCAATTTGTAGCACAGAACTGATGCAATACTGTAGCAGAAACCATAAATTACAAAGTAATAACTCTCATGCAAAGTAATTAGAATCCTCATTACACACCCCTTCAAACAGAACAACATACTTTCCCTGAGGAAACAGACTTCTTTCTCCTACTAGGATACTTTACAACATGCCTTTCCAAAGTAAAGAAACACCTTTCCATCCAACCCACTGGTATTTTTAAAACCATTAAAACATCTGGTTACACCAGTAGATTTAACAATTATTCCTTTAAGAAGAAACCATTTTTAAGAGATAACTTATATTTTACTTGTTACATTAACTGATAGTGCATTTAATAACAAGCGGCAAGATAATCACCAAAGATATCAAATAAAAACATTTTAAAACGTTCAATTCATTAAATATTTCCTAGATGGCAATCTCCTGCAAGGCTTAAGCTAGATGCTGTAAGGGAAAACAAAAATGACCAAGGTATCAGCATTAGACTTAAGGAGTTATCTTCTGCAACCAAGTACAGCATTATTATACAATTTACTGATACTCAGTTATCCTATCAAGAAGACTATGACAGAATAATTTGAATTATCAAAATCTACATCCAGAGGAGGAATGGTGTCTGAAACAAAGTAACAAAATCAAGGAAACTCAGCTAAACTTCCCTCAGATGACAGAAGTGTCCCACGTGTTCAAGTCTTAAATGTGGTTAATAGTGTCACTCGCACCAGAGAGAGCAAAAGGACCTTTACCATCCGCCTTCATCAAAAACAAACAAAAATATATGAGACAATAGGTTAAAATGAATTATCAAGAGCCAGCTTACAAAATTACTTGTGAGATTGAGGGACATGTATAAAAGGGGAGATGGCTTTGCCATGGAAATGGGTTGGAGGGTTTGTGGATGGATTGTGTATTTATATGAGACCCAAGTAAATATTTTCCACCACTTGACAGAACAGTGACCTACACAGGATTGCTCCCTGCTCTGTTGCCAAAACACAGGGGAAAAGTAACCTATTCCTCATGCCCTTGGGCTGCTCCCCCGGTCTGGTACCTTCCAATCTGTTAGTTTCAAACCATGTCAATAAACTGGCAAGCACTGCATCTAGTCAATTATTAACCTGTTTATCATTAACATTACTGCATGAGTGTGATATAGGGCATAAATCATTAAACAGTCATTGATATCCTGAGGAATTTCCAACAAAATTGGATGGGTTAATTTTGCGCTGTGGAATGGACACAGTGAGTAGTTATATCCCAACCCTCCTTAATGCTCATATTGTTCATTTTATTAAAGGTACCGTGCAATGGGGATCAACAACATAATCAAAACAAAAATTCACTTTAAAAGGAATGAATTGGAATAATATCAAGACATTAAGCAGACTCACTTGTGTAGAAAAAGATATCACAATCTTATCATTCTGGAAAAGATTTTAATTTTTTCACCAAACATTACTGAGAGATATGACTGATTTAATCTCTAGGGCAAGGGATACTTTTTAATGCATTCGGAAGTTTTGCGATGCCTGCCACGTTTTCACACAGGTTGAAGTAGATGCATTTTGTGGGTCTCAACACATGTCAAACAATTGTTTACTGCTTGAATACCCGTGAGTGCAAATCTGAGATGGATGAGTTATGTTAGTTTGATTACAGAGATCTGATCTTCTTTGTGGTGCTGAAGCTGAGAGCAAAATGGTACCCATAAATCAGAATTCTAGGAAAGAGCTGTTTACGGGGATTTTTGTGTTTTGTTTTTTCCCCACAGACATGTTTGGGGTGGTCCGCTGGTGACAACTTTTAATGGAAAGAGGCTCTCACTTTTCGGCCCTTCAGAGGCTGTGGCGGGCGGTGATTGCTCAACAAAAAAGCCGCTGCTTCGCCCTCCGCCGTGCAGAGGAGAGTGCGGAATGTGGCCAACTGTTGAAGAAAAGAGCAGAGTGGGCTTCAGCACAGAAAGTCACACCAATGTTGGTGAACTGCCCTCCTAGAAAGTTATGAGGCATACAGCCTTTCCTCTACCAGGGACTAAAATACTGCAGTAAAAGTGTTCTAAATCATATATATAAGAAAACACCACTTCTGCTAAGTTCTCACCACTATACAAATACCTGTGGGTTCAAAAAATCAACTACATAAGGATTCTTTATCTGAGGATCAAAGTAATATGAGGAAACAACATTTAGAATGTGGTTCAAAGAGGACATATGTAGGAATCAGAGAATGTCACCTACAAAGGCAGAATAGGACGGTGGAAAGGTCACTGTACTGGCTTTCAGGGACAGGTCCCAGTCCTTGGTCTGGCACTGACCAGTTGGGTGACCTTGGGCGCTGCTCTTCAGTTACCCCATCTATGAAGTGAAGCAATGGATTATATGATCTCAATGGTAATATTGGAATGTAACTCTCGGAATCACATTGAACACGTACCAGTCAGTACTCCAGTACAACATGGCCTCAATTTTCATGGCAACCTTGTGGTGCTCATCCTGTAGAATTTTGATCTTTTAAGTACTGTTTTCCTTAAGCAATAATTTTGCTCTCACCATACTTGAGCCTTGCAAACAACTAACCATGGTAAACACGTGGGCCCTTCAACCTCTGATAATGTTTAAATACAATTTCAGTGATATAGGCATATTTCTCATCAAAAGGGCTTAATTTTTCTTATTACAGAAAAATGCTGACTTACCTTACAAACTTCATACAACACACAAAGCACCAAGAAGAAAATAGAAATTACTAGTAATCACATCACAAGATATAATCACAGTTAACATTATGGAGTGCTATATACATATGTTTTTATATACATAAACCCATGAACGCACATGCACACACACAACATGTTTTATTACAAAAACAGGCTTAACCATCATGCTCTTTTGAAACCTTATTTTTGTACTTAATACATATCCTATATATCTTTGCATGTCAATAAACATAAATCTATGCCACTATTTTTAATTGCTGAAGTTTCCTACTCTAAGCATGTTGTATAAATTATTTAACAATTCCTTGGTGATTTAATACTATTTATCAAGATTTAGCCCAGTCTATAGTAGTAAAATGAAGACTGGGTAAACTAGCTGAATAATTCTACTTTCTTGAAAGTATTCACCAAAAATCTATTACCAATTAACTCAAGTAGGTTTCTGGTGTTTGTTTTCCTATTTCATTTGAGCAAAGATAAATTATTAAATTATTGAGAATAAAAGCCTCCATTCTTGGGATGCCTGGGTGTCTCAGTTGGTTAAGCATCTGCCTTCAGCTCAGGTCATGATCCCACGGTCCTGGGATCGAGTCCCATATTGGGCTCCTTGCTCAGTGGGGAGCCTGCTTCTCCCTCTGCCTGCTGCTCTCCCTGCTTGTTCTCTCTCTCTCTCTCTGACAAATTAAAAAAAAAAAAATCTTAAAAAAAAGCCTCCATTCTCTAAGCTATGCTAGTCACCTAAATGCAGAATCAAGCAAATTCACACTAGGATAGGGGCACCTGGGTGGCTCAGTTGGTTAAGTGTCTGCCTTCAGCTCAGATCATGATCCCAGGGTAATGGGATAGAGCCCTGCATCAGGCTCCCTACTCAGGGGGAGTCTGCTTCTCCCTCTGCCCCTCCCCTGCTTGTGCTCTCTCTCTCTCTCAAATAAATAAATAAAATCTTTTAAAAAAACTCATACTAGGACACATCTATTAAGTTTCCATCATCATCATTTAGTTGAAGCCTAAAACATTTCTTGCACAGTACTAGCCAGGATGAGAGGCAGAGGTGATGGAGGTCCTCCCTAGGCAAGAGTTTGTCACCGCACTCCATGGAGATAGGTTCATGCATCACATACAAGCAGCCATGTCTTTCCACAGGTGATACTTTGAGGGGTCTTTTAAAGGGTATCGATATGGGCAAGATAAGACAAATAGTTACAACTTACTATTACTCATATTTCATTAGACCAGATTATAGCTAAAGCCAGATGAGATTTAAATAATTCTCTGGTAAAGTCAAGCAGCAGAGGTAAATAAAATCTAAGCTCTGGAGCCCCAAGGAAAACACTCAGCCTTCCACAGATCAGGGGGACCAGGTCTGTCTGGAGTGGCCTTTCCAGCTGGCTGTGCAGGAACCCCAAGGCCTGAATCAGGGCACCAACTCGCTGGCCTCAGCAAGCACGACTTGCCTCCCATTGAAGCTGCCCATTCCTCTGAAGACCTTGGCTATTTTTTTTTTAAGATTTTATTTATTTATTTGAGAGAGAGAGAGAGCAGAAGCAGGGGGTGGGGCAGAGGGAGAAGCAGGCTCCTCACTGAGCAGGGAGCCCGATGGGGCTCAATCCTAGGACCCTGGGAGCATGACCTGAGCCACTTAACTGACTGAGCCACCCAGGCACCCCCCCACCCTCCTTTGACTCCTCTGCAAGTTGGTCATGGCTCCCTGCCTCTGTAATACCTCAACCTCACTGGAATTTACTCTAGATCATTCTCTGACCTGCCTGCACATTTTGGTGAAACTCACTGAACCTGCCCTGATGTCCCACCAAACCCCTTCCCTTTCTGGCTCTGGGTCTCCCTTCCAATCACTCAGCCCAGCTAGGTAGACCCTGCATCTGCCAGTCCCTGCTCAGATTTGCTTCTCTTGGCTCTGGTGTCCTCCACCACCGCACTAACCTCAAAATGCACACCCCTGACTGGCCCTTACCAATCTTATCACTCTCTAGGCCCCTGGGCTTCTTGCAGACAGAAAATCTGCCACTCTGTCACAAAAGCTGATACCATCTACATGAGTCCTGGCAGGAGTCTCCCCAGATCAGCCTGAAGGCTGAGGTGGGTATGACTTGTTTTGCTGTTTTTCTTGGCTCTGATACTGAAATGTTAATGTCCTTATAGAGCCACCCCAGTAAGCAGAAATATTCTTTTCTAATGTTTTGTAAATAGCTTTACTTATGTCACTCTAGTGCTCAAATGTCTAATAGCACTCCACCGCCTGCCCAAGCTGGATGATAATAAAAGTAAAATCTCTCTTACAGAACATGGTGGGCCAGGTATTGCCCTAAGTCCTCTACATACATACCTCATTTAATCAATGATGTCCTCTTACCCCCATTTTCAAGATGAGGAGCTTGAGGGACAGCTAGGAAGTTTCAGTAAATGAGCCATCTGGCTAATAAGTCATGCACTAACTGCAGCACTATATGGCACCTCTAACTTTTTTTTCTCTATTTTCCCCTAATCTCTTTTCATGAGCTGTTTGATTATGGAAACTTCCAACCATACATAAAGCTAGAAAGAGCAGCAGCATAAATCACTACAAACTCAGCACCCAGTTCCACCCATCACTAACACACAGCCCATTTCCTTTCATCCACACTCCCATTCATTCTGTCTCCACCTTCCATCCTGCCCAAACTAGATTATTTTGAAGCCTATGCTGAATATCATGTCATTTCAGGTGTAAACATTTCAAAATCGGTCTCTAAAATATGTAACATTTCTAACTCTAATAAGGCCCCAAAAACAAACTCGTTAGCCTGGCTTTGGGACCACCGGGTCCCGACGAACTAGGTTGTCTCCGATTACTGCAACACACGGGGCCCACTCGAAGCCAGGTTTGTGAAGGGTGGCCTCAGAGCATCTGAATGAAGAGACTTTGGGGTGATTCTTAAAACTTCAGGTTACTGAAACCTACCCCAGACCTTCTGAATGAGAATTTCTGATAACGCCCAAGGATTCACATTTTGATAAGCTTCCCCAGGTGATTGTTGTATACACTAAAGCTTGAGAACCTTAGGTACAAAGGGGCCCCCATTTTCTGCACCTCCTTTTCTTGCCTTTATTTATGGTGTTCCTTCTTGAACTGCTCCCTTTCCTTTACTACGTCCAACCAGTCATCGCCCTTTCCCTAGCCCAGATATCAGCTCTTTCATGAAGTCTTCTCCGGATTTCTCCAATAAAATAGTCTCTCCCCTTTTAAACTCCCTTTACACCTTATTTTTCTTACATACCAAGCACAGCCACTGTGTTACCATTTTTTATGCATTTATTTTATCTTGTCTATCAGATTATAAACTACTTGAGGACAAGGGACATTTTTAACACTTCTTTGTATCTTTTGCATTATGCCTTGCAAGAGTCAGCAATTATTAAACAATTCTAGAACTGACTTGGATTGTCTCCTATCATTTAGAACTTTAATGTCAAAGCTAATTATACAGAGTTTTTTGGCATAAGTCAAAATTAATGTTCAAGTGAATGAATTCCTTCCCCATTTCATATTTAGTCTAAAGATGCAGAAGAAGAGTATTCCTAGGTCATTATCATTAATTACATAATATAGCATTTTACTACTTTAAAAGGACATTAGGTGTTGCTTCCACATCTGTTGGGCTAAGACCCTACAGACAACCTCCCTGTGGAAAACAACTCTAAAACCCAGACACGAATACAAAAAGCAACAAGTCACAGACACTGGAGAGTGCACAGAAGCAGAGGGACTCAGGTGGAGAGTCTGTGCTTCTCTCACACGAAGGAGAGCTGGGAGCTCTTCAAGTGAGTTCCTATCTCTCCAGCTTCTCACCTGAAGCTGAGTAGAATCTGCAAGGTGCACAAAGCTGCAATGGAACACACAGGTCTTACAAGGACAGAGCCAGAGGGAGGATACTCAAACTCTATACCTAAGAACCACACACGCTGTACTGAGACCAGAGCTGCTGCACAAGAAAGACAATTGAGAGCTCGAGCCCGGCCAGAAAAAATTACCTACTCACACAAGGGAAATAATATTTATCAGAAAAAAATAACCAAATCCAGAACTGGCACAACTTCATGTTCATCACATCTAGAATACAATAAAAAATTACTTAACATACAAAGAATCAAGAAAATGGAACACATTCTCAAAAAAAGAAACATCAGGGGAGTCTGACCCAAGATGAACCAAATTAGGAACTTACAAGGTTTTTTTTTAACATGGATTTTAAAATGACTATTTTAACTACCTGAGGGTTGTACATTTTTAAAAAAAGCATCTTTAGGGCGCCTGGGTGGCTCAGTTGGTTGGGCGACTGTCTTCGGCTCAGGTCATGATCCTGGAGTCCCGGGATCGAGTCCCACATCGGGCTCCCTGCTCAGCGGGGAGTCTGCTTCTCCCTCTGACCCTCTTCCCTCTTGTGCTCTCTATCTCTCATTCTCTCTCTCTCAAATAAATAAATAAAATCTTAAAAAAAAAGCATCTTTAATGCAGAGTAGTGGGAAGTCTCAGCAGAAAAACAGATATAATAAAAGAGAACCAAGCTGAAAATTTAGAACTAAAATATAGAATTGCTAAACAAAAAATTACCTGGATAGACTTTACAGTAAAATTGACATGACAGAGGAAAGAGTGAATGAACTTGAATATAGATTAATAGAAATTATCCATGGTGAAGAACAGAGATTAAAAAAAAATTATCTAAAAAAATAGTCTTGGTGAAATCAGAGAGGAAGACAAACCATAAGAGACTCTTAACTCTAGGAAACAAATTGAGGGGTGCTGGAGGGGAGGTGGGCAGAGGGATGAGGTAACTGGGTGATGGGCATTAAGGAGGACACACAGGATGTGATGAGCACTGGGTGTTATATGCAACTGATGAATCACTAAACTCTACCTCTGAAACTAATAATACACTGCATGTTAATTAAATTGAATTTAAATTAAAAAAGTTTTTTTAAATAGCATCTTGGGGCTCTGATGATATTAAAAGTTTAAATATATGTGAAATTGAAATATCAGAAGGAAAGGAAAGAGAAAATGGGGCACAGCACACATAAAAGTTAACTCATAAGTCATCAAAGACTTAAATGTGAGAGCTACAACCATTACTTAAAGTATGAAAAAAATATTTTGTGGCATATAGTTAGGCAAAGATTTCTTAAACAGGACACCAAAAGCACAAACCAGGGGTAAACTGATAAAAATGGACTACATCAAGGTTAAGAACTTTTGCTCTTCAAAAGACAGAGTTTAAAAAAAAAAGGCAACCAACATGTTGACTGGGAGAAAAGTTCTGCAAAACATGTACTTTAAAAAGGGCTGATTGTATACAGAACCTTTGCAATTCAATAATAAAAAGACAAACACCCAAATTAAAAAGGAGCAAATGATTTGAAGAGATGTTCACAAAAGAAGATATATGCACAGCCAACAAGCACATGAAAAAATGTTCCACATTACTAGTCACCAGATAAATGCAAATTTTAAAAATCACAGATACCCACTAGAATGGCTAAAGTTCAAAAGACTGACAACACCAAGTGTTGACAAGGATGTGGAGGAAGTAGAAATCTCATATATTGCTGGTGAGAATGAAAAATGGTACAGTCACATTAAAAACCAATATAGCAGTACCTTATACAATTAAACATGAAGATACTGCATGACCTAGTAAATCTAGGTCACGTCTAATTTCACAAAACATGAAAATATGTGTCTACACAAAAATGTATATGCCAATTATTCCTAACTTCCAAATATGTACAGCTATTATCCATAAGAGCCCAAAACTGGAAGCAACCCAAATATCCATCAATTGGTAAATAGATTTTAAAATAAGGTGGTATATCCATATCATAGAATATTACTCAGTAACAAAAACTGTCAGTGAATCTCAAAAACATTATGCTACGTAAAAGTCAAACACAAAAATCTACATACTGTTATGATTCCATTTAAATAAAATTCTAGAAAAGGCAGAATCCTGGTGACAACATCTCAGTGACTGCCTAGGGCTATCGGTGAGGAAGGAGGTGGAGTGCAAAGAAGCGTAAGGAAATTTTTTGGTTGAGGGATCTATTTTATATCTTGATCTAGTGGTTGCTGCATGGTAATATACAACAACAAAAATCATCAACTGCACACTAAAACTCGTGAATTTCATTGTATGGAAATCTCATAACAAATGACAAAGAGAATATTTTTAAAAAGAGCATAGAATCAAAAGCAAGTATCCTGCACATTGAATTCAGCAGATGAGCAAGCCAATTTAGATAATTTAGGATAGCCCAAAGAAACTTGGCACAACAGTTAGCCTTCCAAAGAGAATGACAGATCTGCTATCAAAACCATCTGAAAACAGCATATCTGTTTACTGGTCTGGCAGTTAAGTAAAGCATTTCAATAAGTGACTCTGGGGACAAAAAAAATGGCCTTGAATCAAATAAAAGAAAACGAAAAAGATCTGGTTTGCCCTTTTGGTCAAATAGTGACTGGGCAAGAAATAGCAGTAGAAAAACCTAGGAAAAAAAATGGCACTAAAGAAAGAAGTTAATCTTCATAGCTAGTGACATTATATGGTAGAATTGGAAAATACATAAAACAATGTGTCCCAGGGACTTCAAAAATAAAGAGCTGTCACAATTGAGATTAGAAATTATCTTTTGGAAAGTAACTCTTAAGTAAGTGGTATACACAAAAGACATGTTCATTTCACTTTATAGAAAAGAGGTAAGCAACTGAATAATCATCTCAACCTTCCCATGTTTTGGATTTTCTTAACCTTTTTATTTTAGAACAGTTCTAGATTTACAGAATTATTGCAAAGTTAGTACAAATAGTTCTCATAAGCCCCATACTTAATGGGCCCTATTATTAATATCTTACATTAGCATGGTACATTTTTCACAATTGGTGAACCAGTATTAATATGTTATCATTAACTGAAGTCCATCCTTTATTCAGATTTCCTTTGTTTTTACCTATTGTCTTTTTCTGTTCCAGGATCCCACCAGGAAACAACTTAGTAGTCATAGCTCCTTGAGCATTTCTTGATGATGACAATTTCTCAGATTTACCTTGCTTTTGATAACCTTGACAGTTTTGAGGAGTACTGATCGGGTATTTTGCAGAATGTCTCCCAGTTGGGCTTTGTCTGATGTTTTTCTCATGGTTAGACTGGGACTGGACTTCTGAAATATCTTTTGCTTCATTTTTTAACTCTTAAAATCACCATAATATCATATTAGAATAATTTGGGTTCATATTATTATTCAGATAATCATTTCCATCTGGTTAAAAATGAGAATGTCTGGGGCGCCTGGGTGGCTCAGTCGGTTAAGCGTCTGCCTCTGGCTCAGGTAATGATTTTGGGGTCCTGAGATCAGCTGTGCCCAGCTCCCTGCTCAGCGGAGAGTCTGCTTCTCCCTCTCCCTCTGCCCCTCCCCGCTGCTTGTGCTCTCTCGCTCTCTCTGTCTCAAATAAATAAATAAAATATTTTTTAAAAATGAAAATGTTTGAAAGTATTCGTGCTAGAGTAGATGTAAGTGAATTTAAGTAGATCACAGTGAATTATCAATCACACTAAAGCTCTAAAATATAGTTATTATTTTATATACTCTACCTTATAAAAACCACATTAATAATTAATATTAATTAATTAAGCCTCAAATTAGAGTAGTGAAACCACAGCTAGGTAGGCATAATTCCTAAACTTACAGTGGGTCATTTTTGATTAAGAGCTTTATGTATTTTAAGGAACTAAATTATATATTTTGATATACTCTATTCCAAATGGCAGGTGGATTTTTAAAGTTATTTTCCAAGTGACTTTAAGGGATTGAAAATATCCTTGAAATAGGAGGGAAAACATGATCTCCTATTATTACTTACTACCTTGTTATAATTTATTAATTCTTACCCTTATCTTGTTCAAATTTAACAAAGGAATGTAAAAGTGAACAGTTTAGCACATGGGGGAAAGAAAATGTACTCGGTTAGTAAGGCCCCTGAATCAGTGACAGGTCCTTTTTCTCATGACACAATGCATCTTATTTATGATGGGAAAAGTCACAGGAATTTCCATGTCAGTCAAGCTCTGGACTTCAATCCAGACTTTTATAAAATGTTTTGATTAGTATGTCCCAGATTATTATTTGGCTTTAATCCTAAAGATAAGGCCAACAAAAGTCAGATGTGTTCAACACCCCAAGGGAAAATGTTACCTGATATGACCTTGGTAAAGGTGAACCAGCTCTAGTCCTTGATTGGGGGTAAAAAATAAACAGCTAGGCAGGTGGGCAAGCCCAGAACAGAAGTGCTTGATTAGCTGCAAAAATTACTAGACTATGTTCTTGCTAAAACTGTGCAGCAAGTAATTCAAAAAGAAAAACAAAAAGCAAAGAAAACCCACTCAGCACAGCATCCACAGAAGACATCACATCCACCTGTCAGATGGGTCAGTCACACAGGTCAGAGACCCAAGCCGAGTTTCTGGGCATCAAAGAGAGCCTGAGCCTGCAGACGGCTTGCAGACTCAATACATTAATCAGAAAAACAAGTGAGGAAATGTCTTCACTAAAACAGCACAGGTAGGCACCCAACAGCATCTCAGTAAATGCTTAAAGCCCCTCAAGCAGCCCCACAAAAGTTTTGTCAACAAAAGAGAAGAGACCCATTGTTGTCACTGCTCACTTTCTGATTGCGACATCATCTGTAGGAGGAGCAGGTCTAGGGACTGAGGTCAAAAAGAAGAAAGTCCCCTTCTAAGAGTAGCCCTTCTCCTGATTTTCCCGTTTATATACCAACCTGTTTATATCTCAGCCCAAAAAAGAAAACAATTATAGCCTTTAAAGTCACTTCCCTCAGTGTCTGTATGCACATTACGTTTCAAAGACCGTGGAGAGAAATCATCTAATCACAGAAGGTCAAATAAGAAAGGGACGTAAGTTTTACCCAGTCCAACTACCTATCTGATTAATGAAGGGAAAACACAGGCTTCATCGTGCCCCAGAAATTAAGGGCAGGACTTTTTTTTTTTTTTAAGTTTTGGTCCAGTTTCCTCCAGTAAATCAGGATCAACCTTGAAGAAGTGACATACCTGTTGAGAGCTGATATTTATAGGTTGTTTTAAAACGATCCATGTGACACTCTCAAGAAGAGGCGGGACTGTAAGGGAACCAGGGTATGTCCAGTAGTCCCAGGACGGAGGAAGCAGAGATAATGGGTCAAAATTTGTGAATCGCGTTTGTTTACCCTGGTGGAGAAAGAATTCCCACAAATTACAATGGGAGAGCTTTACAGAACCCTCAAAACAAAAACAAAAACAAAAACACGTGCATCCAATGAAAGACTATTTTACTGGAACTCTTCAACTCATGGAATTATTTAGTATCTGCTTTTGTATCTTAAAAAAAAAAGTTTCTGCCTTAATCTAAAAATTTTAGATGAGGTAGCATATTAGCTAGATTTATTTAAGAAGCACAAGATTTGTTTAAAATGTGTTGCAATTAAACGCTGATTGTGCAACACTCCAATACCAGAAACTAATCACGCATAAATTTATTAATAATGATTTTAGATAATTTAAGACCCCTTCAGCATTTTCAAAAGACAAATGACAATAGGTTGATTCTGCTCTATTGGTCAAGTATGTTCCAACCCTGCTTCAAAGCAGACAGCATATGCTCTATCTAAAGCTTAAGTTATTAAAAGAAGGTAAGAAACTTCAGGAGAGAACAAGGAATACATTAGTCATTAGCAAATAATATTTCATTTTACCTTTTCTTTAATAGAATCCAAAATGTCAGTAATCTTTTGCAGCTGAGAATTATGTTCACCAATCTGAAAGCACGAAATTTCAAAAGAAATAGTTACTGTAGCAGAACAGGTCTGGTTCACTCCATTTCAGTCACTGGTTTTGAAATGTTGTTTTTTTTTTAAAAAACCTACGCCCAGCCCAGAACAAACAGAGATTGTTTTATAATGAAGCTGTCTTTTACCTGCTGGCTTTATCATGCCAGAAGAATCTGAACAAGGTAATGTTACAGGCTGCTTGGCTGAATTTTAAGCTTGATTCCAAAACTAGTGGTAACAGCTACATAGTTTTTCCGTTTTATGAATGTTTAAGATACAGGTTAACTTAAGAGAAAACTCCCTTAGGAAACTCTAACATAATACTTGCACTATTCAACCAGATGTGACCTTCAGACCCTAGATCCAAACTGGCACTTGTGACATCAAAGCATTAAAAGCAAATATCTCCAGGGACACCTGGGTGGCTCGGTCCTTAGGTGTCTGCCTTCGGCTCAGGTCATGATCCCAGGGTCCTGGGACTGAGTCCCACATGGGGCTTCCTCCTCAGCGGGGAGCCTGCTTCTCCCTCTCCCTATGCCCCTCCCCCTGCTTGTACTCACTCTCTCAAATAAATACAATCTTTAAACAAGAAAAAGAAAAAGAAAAGAAAACATCTCTCACTTTCAACCTAAAATGATTTGAGGTCCTGCACCAAGACAATATGTTATCATGAGTAGAAATCGTCATCAGAAAAATATATGTACCTCTTTTCATTATTAGGGATGTCCTGACTCTACCTAAGGTTTTAAGTCCTTCAGGATTCAAGTATAATCTCTTGCCTCACTCACATTTCACGACCACCAGCGGACTTGGCAGCCAAAGGGAAGGAGCCGAAACCATTCATCCCACCCTCCGTTCTGCCCTGTACTCCCCCAGTCCCAGCCCCAAAGAGTTCCAACATCACCTGCAGAGTCTGGTGGCAGAGCAAAAGCGCCCGCCCTACAAGAATGCCGTCACAGTGGGAGCTGAGCGGCCCAACCCACCCACGGAGATTACAACAAGGATACTTGCTTCACTACATGTGACTATGACACAAAGGAAAAGACAACAACAATTTTTAAAATCTGGTCAGTGTGTTTGAGACAACAAACCACAGTGGTAAAACTAGTGCTTCAAGAATCAGGAACGTGAACTTCACTCTGTCCTGTATCTCTAAATACCGTGTAATCAGGAAGAGCCCAGAATAAAGATTTTCTTCTCAGAATCTCAACTGTTATTCCAACTATTGTTGCGGCTGCCGCCGTTTCTGTTCACATAAAAATGATCAATGGACAATAAGAGGAGACGTAAGACAATACTCCCAAGGTAGTTCTGGGCTATTAGATAAATCATAAACTAATATATAAATGTTTAATATTAATTTCAAAAGGAAAACATTACACTTAGAATGAGTTTACTATTAAAAATGGTAGACTATCCTTTCCACAACTGAAACTCTTTATCCAACATGGCTGATGAATTATTTAAAATGAAATCAGTGGATTCTCACCTGTAAAAATACTCCCAAGACAGCTAGTCCATCTGGCTCATGAGCTGCCTCAACAAAGCTGGGGTATTTGTCTGAATTCCAATGAACAACATGGAGCTGAAAGGGAGGTATGCAACATAATTCAAATGTTATTTTTTAAAAATCCTTAAAAACAAAAATGAAAATAAAATATTTATATAAATGTTCCTGGGCTGTGCCCTCATGTGTGTAATGTATTCTTCACAGAATCCACCTATTTGCTGTTGTCCAAAAGCCAAAGACATGTACCATGGCCACTGTAGTCTATGGTATACTATAGGAAGGTCTACAGCACTATTTAGAATGTTCTGGAGCATCCTGCCAAGGCCCTCTGGCCCGAGCAATCTCCAACCATTGCTCCTGAGCAACTGACTTAAGGCTTCTTCCTAGCCTTCCACGGGTGGGACTGCAAGAGAGCAGCCTCAGGTCAGATCCCAGCTGGTAGCAGAGTCCAAGAAACAAGCTTAGGCTCACAGGAAGGGAGAGAAGTCAACCAAGGGTTTGCAGTGACGATTCTGCTGCTAAGGACAGTACCAATTGTTCCTGAAACTGCCTGGTCAGATGTTCACCACTATACTTGAAGACTTTTTATGACTTGAAAGTGCAAATTCTCCTTAACAGAACTATTTGAAGCAGTATTCACCCATGTATTACCATCTATAATTATGTTTAGATCCTTTGCTGATAGCAAGTTTTAATGGGGACAAAGAGGCTTTGTCTAGGAACAGGAACTAGGAACCAGACATGTCTGAGGATGGAAATGAGAAGCAGCTGGTGCCGAGTTAAGGGAAAGGAAAGAAGGGGAGAGGGAAGGAGTTGGAGGACCTGGAACTCTAGAAAATAGAAAATACACCTACCTCACAACACTGCCCTCTTGCAAGTGGTTTCCTGCAAAAACCAAACGAGTCCTATATGTTCTGCCACTGTAAACAGTACAGTATCCCAAACACACAAACAACTGTGAAAGACTATAAATAACAGTAAAGCAGAAATCCACCTTGGGGAGATCTTCATTCCTAATTAAGGGGAAGAACACACTAAGAGAGATGCCAAAGGGCAATATGCCATGCTCAAACGATTTGGCCAAGATCATGAGGACACCATGTTGTCCAAGAACCCCTGCATGAGGGACTGACTTCAGATTAAATCTCCTTTCAGTGAATCCTTTTGGCATCTCAGGGCAGAAACACATATGAAGGGTTTCATGCACAAATCACCTTTCTAGCTGTCCCTTGAAAGAGAATTGAGTATGTTCAAAGACATGGGTTTAATCCCATGCTTTAAATATAACTTCATATCTTATAGGCAACTAATATGGGGGAATTTCTGAATAAATAAGAATTATCACAACTATAAATACATGAGCTACAAAACTATAAAACAGTCTACCATCTATAAACAATCCAGAAAGGTTGTGGGATATGCAGACCGAAAATACAAAGGTGGATCCCTGTGGTGCCATGTTCTAAGTTGGTGTGAGATAGTTGGAGGAGGAACGAAACCTTGAAAACACTGGATGATGAAACAAAATTCATTTGGCTTACATGAGATAGAGACATTCCACTCTAAGGGAGGGGCTGAAAAGAACATTAAAATTGTTTTAAATGGCTCTATGCCAATCCATCAGCTCACTTAGTAAGAGATGACACCAAAGATATAAAAAGATGTGAAATGATGTCTCTAGGTTCACAACAACAACTGATTAGAAAATGAATATGTAACTAAAGAGAGATGAATCTATATATCCTTTTGCTGATTAAAAAACAGCAACTATTTAGGGGTGCCTGGGTGGCTCAGTTGGTTAAACATCTGCCTTCAACGTGGGTCATGATCTCAGGGTCCTGGGATCGAGCCCAGCATTGGGCTTCCTGCTCAGCAGAGAGTGTGCTTCTCCCTCTGCCCCTCCCCCCAACTTGTGCTCCTACTCACTCTCTCAAATAAATAAAATTGTTAAAAAAATAAATAAAAAACAGCAACTATTTAGAATATTATGGGAAACTACAGCAAGAAATTTTTTTTTTTTTCCCCAAACAAGTCTTTCTCTCTCCCACACATTTTGCTCTAACTGGCACAAATAGCTTCAGAGGGAAGGATACCACTTGTATTAGCGTTTGTATTTGGTTTTTTGGAGTTTGGGGGGTTTTTTTTAAAGATTTTATTTATTTATTTGACACAGAGAGAGAGCACAAGCACTCTCACTCCCCCACTCCCAGGGGGAGTGGCACACAGAGAGAGAGGGAGAAGCAGGCTCCCCGCTGAGCAGAGAGCCCACTGTGGGACTCGATCCCAGGACCGAGGTATCATGACCTGAACTGAAGGCAGCCTCTTAACCAACTGAGCGACCCAGGTGCCCCAGCATTTGTATTTGAATTAAAACTCAAACAAATAACAAATAACAAACTCACATTTCCTGACTAACAATGACAGCCTCATTGATTTAAGCAAATGACAAGAAGTCGTAGCCACAACAAAAATGGAAATGAGAAGTTTCTTCCCTGTTGGAAAATAATTTCTTTTTTTTAGGGTTTTATTTATTTATTTATTTATTTGAGAGAGAGAGAGAGCATGAGCACAGGGAGGGGCAAAGGGAGAGGGAGAGAGAATCTCAAGAAGACTTGGTGCTGAGGGCAGAGCCTGATGCAGGCCTCGATCCCAGGACCCTGAGCCAAAATCAAGTCTGACCCTCAATCACTGAGACACCCAGGTACCCCAATAATTTCTAAATAATAGTATTATTCAACTTTAGCCTTTTTAACTGCATACTATTGATATGTAAATTATTTTAGCATGCCAAAAATCACCGTTAATGTTAAAATTATAGTTTTACTATCAACTACATATTTAATATGCTTATTATATAATCTGTACAAACTGTAATCAGATGAAGCTTTAAATATGGAGTGGATTATTAGCCTACTTTTTATAGATGCATACCTCTTAGGATAAGGTTTTCCATGATTTAGATCAGTTTAATGTCTCTGTATAATGTCACAAATCATCAGATTAGACCCAAAGTTAAGTTTTTACATGGTACACTTTAAATGGTTTTTTCCTTTCATTTCTTTTCTTCTTTTTATTTTCTAAGAGGGTACAACTCGATGATAGTCATGAAGTTAGGTACAAAAGTGGCTGGAAGAACGAATCTAAGAATCATTTCTACAGATGAGCACAAAGGGATTCTTTTGAGCCTGAAACCAAATGTCAGTGATTCCCAAATACCTCCAGTCCAGCCTGGACGTCTTCCTTAAAATCCAGGTCTGTATACCTAACAGCCTTCTTGAACGTGAGCCTAGAATATCTAATAGGCACCTCAAACTTAATGTGTGCACAACAGAAAGTCAACTTCTCTCAGCAACCTGCTCCTCCCTGGACTTGCCCATCTGAGTAAATGGCAGAACGATCCTCATGTTTGCACAAGCCAAAGTCTTAGGAGTGTTTCTAGACTCCTCTTTCTTCTTCCTTCAATCTTGACACCCTTTTCACTGGCAAGTCCCACTGATTTTCTTTCCCAAACATATCCTGGATTCATCTACTCTCTTCATCTCCATCACCCCCATAGCCCAAACCACCATCCTTGCTCATTTGAAATACTTCCATAATCTTCTAATTTGTCTCCCTGTTTCCACATTTGCCCAACCCCTTTTACACACAGCAGCTAGTTATATTTTATAAAACATAAAGTAGAACATGACATTCCCCTCCTCAAAATCTTCCATTGTCTTTGTCTCAATACATTAAGGATAAATTCCAAACTTCTCACCTTGCCCTACAAAGCCCGACAAGGCATGGTCCTTGCCTGCCTCCCTAGGACACAGCCCATAACCTCTCCCTCAATAATTCTAATCCCAGAAGCGACATCTTTCGCTTTTTAAACATGCCAACTTCATTTCTGCCTGAGGTCATCTGTATTTGCTCTGCCCACTTGCTGAGAAGCTGTCTAGATTTTCTCATGGTGAGTTTTCCTAACTATTCAATCACACTACCAGATCCCATGGTATTGTTCCTATCAAAGAACTTTCCATACACCATTTATTTATGTGTTTATTGTCTACCTCTAACACCCCACCAACCTTGAGGTCTGACCCAGACTTCCTCATTCTCCATCAGCATTCCTATCTCCAACCAGAAACAATGACGCCCGCCCCCCCCCAAACCAAATCAATCAACAAATCCCACCAAAACTGCACTGGTTAGCAGCACTCCAATTAACTGCACTATCACCTATTACCTGGAACTTCCCCAAAAGCCTCCTCCTGGCTGAGTCACTTATTCACTCCTGCTTCAAGCCAATTTATTCTCAAACTGTAGCATGAATATTTTTAAAATGCAAATATGATCACTTCACGATTCAAAGCCAGTTAATGGCTTCCCACCACACTCAGAATTAAGTTCACGAGCCTTACCATGATTGATCTTCATAAAATCAGGCCCTCCAGCCTTTCCAACTTTACCTCTGGTATCTCTCCTCTTTGTGCTTCATGCACTGATCCCACTGGCCACTCTGTTCTTCCAGTATGTGAAGTGCTTTCCCACCCCAAGTCCTCACACATGAGTCTATCTCCTTTGCCTGGCTCACTCCTGCTCATCCTTCAGGTTTAGGGTTGAGGGACCCTTCACAGGGAAACATTCCCTGGCTCATCCTTACTTCCTTCCAGCACTCCCTTCAGGATGAGCAAGAGTAAGTTGGACAAAGATGGGCAACATAGTGGGGTCACAGTGAATTCTTAAAGAGTGAATGAATTCATGAACAAATAAACAAATAAAATAAGAAAAAGCCTTAAACACATAGTAAAGAATACGTGTTTCATAATTTGACTGAAGTATGAAACTTCAGTCAAAGCTTTATCTACTTCAAGAAGGGAAGTCTATAAAGACGTCTCTTGCTCTGCAGGTCAGAACTCTGAGCCTCTGGAAAATTTCAGGATAGGAGTGCCCTTTTCAAGAAACAACTTGCCAGCTCAGATAAAACTTCTCTGAAAGTATACTTTCAAGTTTATGACCCTAGAAAGTATCACCATAAAGCAATGTAACTATTTTTCTTAGTTGCTTAGGAAAATTACAAAGCCATAATCCAAAACCAGCTCAATCCCCACAAAACCTTCCAGATTTAGAACAATGTGTTCAATTCAGAACACAAAACTTTAGAAAGCAACATGAAAACCATTCAGCAGATGATAGAAACTGAGGCACCATACAGATTCAGGAGTCCCACTTTCTAATTCTTGGCATCTTTAATCTTGTGCCATGGAACACTTTGAATATACATTTTATTCCCCCATCCTGAAAACAGGAAAATACCCTAAGCACTTGGCTTCAAACAAAAGTGTTTTAAGAAGACAAATGGATGATTTGGTTGATAGGCTCAAAGAATAGATGTACCTGTTAATGGAAGAGCAAAACTGGAAAGTTCTCTTGGTTGGATTTCTCTGAACAGCAGAACTATAAAGGAGTGTCTAAATTCCACAACTCAGTAACCATGAGAAAATGAAAAAGAACTTTACTTGCCTGGTAATGCTGTTTCACCTAGAAAACTCACAAGCCAAATTACTGTCACTTAAAAAGCTTTGGTTGTGTCATACAATAATTCACTTTCATCTCATGGAAAAGTTGGGTGTTAGCAATATTTAACAGTATTAAAACTTGAAGTGTATTATGCTTTGTCATTTAACAGAGGATTAGAAAAAGTAGGGTATTATTAATCAATATAGTTATAAAGGAGTAACTTCCCAATTAAAAAAAAGTCAATGAATGCTTTATTGTGTTATGACTTTAATAATTCACAGAGATTCCCTTTTAGACCTGTAAATATAGAGGTAATGCAGAGTTTAGGAGAGTTTGTCTTTGTTTCTTTTCCCTGTAAGGAACTTTACCATTTACTATCACTTCTACAAAATATGATATTAGTATTCACCTGTGTCTGGACCACAGTTGGGCCCAAATCAAATGTCTCTTTCTCTGCCTTCTTCCTGGACTTTCAGGAAACACAACAGATATTCTAGAAAGAGTTTGTAATTTGGTAGCAGACAGACCTGAGTTTAAATCCATCTCAACTGCTTCCTAATTGGATAAGTTACTTACTCTCTCCAAACCTGCAGTTTACTCATTTCCAGAAGGAGCACGATAACCCTAAGCTCTCAGAGTTGGTGTAAGGCTCAGAAGAACCATATTTATAGCTCTCATACTGATAAACTCTCCTATTGATGGAATAAAGCAATCTTAGACACTGATTCCTAATTTGCTCAGGATTAATTTGGAGTCAAGAGTCAAATCCCACCACCTAGGAAACCACTGAATCACGAATATATGTCCGATGGCTTACCTCTGCAGCATATCTCACTCCATCCACCACGTGTTCAGAGCCATGATCATCAGCAGACCCCCAATGAAGGTGAAACTGTCGCAAGCGGTAGCTTCCAAAGAGAGGACCCCCACGCAGAACTAAACACCAACATATTTTAAATTGTTAGCAAGAAAAAAATATTTACACATGCTGCTACAATCCACATCATCTCCCCGAATTATTCAACATGCCAATGTCCTCCGAGGAATTTTTTACAAATGTGTCATTCAGTTTGCAAAAAGGCATACAATTTTTAGGTATATGAGGGATGAAAACAAACATTTTAAAGCGTTGGAGAGTCCACAATACAGATTTTTATGGGATATCTGGGAAATCACAACAGACACAGGGGTTAGAAAGCAGAAGAAATTAGGAGTTCCTAAAAGCAAAGAATTGGTCTGTTTATTGGAGGATGCCAGCCTCTCTGAATAAGGATGTGGTATGTAAAGAGGGCCACCTTGAACTTGGTGGAGCAGCCCAGCACTATGGTTAGAGAACAGGCTCCACCCAGCATTGAGAAGACATAGGCTCGTGCTCTTACTGTGTGATCTTGCGTCAACTCTAACTTCAAAGCTTTAGCTTTTATGTCTGTCACCTCAAGATAGTAATACTCCCTCCTCCTAATACTGTTTTGAAAATAGAAGAAAAGTTGAATACAAAGAACTTATCACTGCCTGGCACACAATCAGCATGCTGAATATGTCAGCTATTATTACTGTTTTATTGTTGTTAGGATTACTACAAAAATTGGCCAAGTAAGCACATCTTTTGTACTTGAATTCTATCTTTCCAGAGAAACCTGGAATACCGGACAAAATTAGCTCTTTTTTGGCAACAGAATCATATCTTAAGTATATGGAAGAGCTTCTTAAGAGAAAACATAGCTCTAAACTATCTCGTCCTAATTAATTTTTATTGGGCATGTTTAAAGGATATGTGGGGGGGATAAGAAAGCACTGAATGTTCAATACACCCTATGCATTACTAATCTCCCATCAACATCCAATGGAAGTGTTAGATTGTGAGATGCAGCCTTAATAACAGTTTGATTTAAATGACCCTACTCTTCAGAGATTTCAGATAGGTAAATAGAGATGCAGAGATAGAGATATCTCAAAACTCGTCAGGAATGATCTGTTTTATATAAGAAGCAAAAGATGTTATGGGGTGCCTGGCTGGCTCAGTCTGTAGAGCATGTGACTCTTGATCTCAGGGTTGTGAGTTCAAGTCCCATGTTCCACAGGGAGCCTACAGAAGCAAAAGATGTTAAGGTGCATCACATGCAGTTTTCTAGACACAGCAAGGGGAAAAAAATGGAAAATACACTTGCCTAAAGCATGCCCCTCGTTGAGCTATACTGAGGGAGAGAAATGATCCAGTTGTATTAACCAGTACAACTGAATTCATTCTTTCCTTACTCAGTTTGACTCAGCTAAAGTTGAGCATCAGTGATTAAGAGTTAGTGTGGTTGGAATCAACGAACCTGGGAATAGTCCCAGCTCAGCTACTGAATTATGTAATCTTCCAAAACTCACGGAAGCCTCTGTGGGCATCAGCTTTCTTGTCTATACTTGTGTTTGTTTGTCTGTCTATTTTTAATTAGGAGATTAGACTGGGCGCTCTTGAACTTCCACAATTATCAAAACTACCAAGGAAAAAAACTGAGCATTTGCAATAAAAACTTTTTGGGAGGTAGAATGGTTGGAGGTTTCTTTAGATTCATTTGGATCCAGATTTCTTGACAATAAATAAAGATAGCTATTTCCAAAGCCCTCTGAAAAATAAAAGAGAAGAAGCATTTACATCAGTTTCTAGGGCTTGCTCTTCTGTTAGTTACACTGTTATAAACAGAGTAGTTTTGGTGTTTTGAGACTCCCACTGAACAGTGTTCACGAGAGCAGAGACTCCGATTCGGTCCCTGCTGGACGCATCACCTAAGCGCAGTAACTATCACAGAGAAGATGCATGATAAATATTTGATGAATGAGTGAATAAAACATTTGATCTGTCTTTAAACAAGCAGTTTCAAAGATGATTCACAGATAAATTAATTTAAAAGGCACATTTCCCTAAGTGACTCCATACAGCATGGATGCAATGGCATTACAAATGAAAAGAAATCGGTATTGGTTTCAGGAGTGGAATTTAGTGATTCACCACTTACATATAAGTTACATATAACACCCAGTACTCATTATGGCAAGTGCCTTCCTTAATGCCCATCATCCATTTAGCACATTCCCCCCCTCTCCTTCCCTCCAGCAACCCTCAGTTTATTCTCTATAGTTAAGAGTCTTTTATGGTTTGCCCCCTCTCTGTTTTCATCTTATTTTTCCTTCCCTTCCCCTATGTTCATCTGTTTTGTTTCTTAAATTCCACATATGAATAACATCATATGATAATTGCCAAAGAAATCAACAATTCTATTGTCCTTTTTTTTTTCTTACTGTAGCATAATAAGACCTGAGCTGAAACATAAAGTCATTCCCTATATAAACATAAAAAGCAGGGGCGCCTGGGTGGCTCAGTCGTTAAGCATCTGCCTTCGGCTCAGGTCATGATCCCAGGGTCCTGGGATCGAGCCCCGCATCGGGCTCCCTGCTCCGCGGAAGCCTGCTTCTCCCTCTCCCACTCCCCCTGCTTGTGTTCCTTCTCTCGCTGTGTCTCTCTCTGTCAAATAAATAAAATCTTTAAAAAAAAAGAAACATAAAAAGCAGATTAGAGAGCTTGAGTAATCAATGTGGAATTAACTTTGGGAGAAGATGCAAACAAGCTGGCTCAAGAGAAAGAAAGTGATACCAAAAACACACATGGTTAGGGAAACATCCAAGAATAATGGTTGATCTCTGGAAAGCCTACTCAGAATCCAGGGTTTAAAGCCAGATTAGCATAGATCTGCTAGTTAAGCAACAAAGACTGCCTTACACTCTACATATTTGGACTCCACATCTGAGTGTTTCCACTGAAATACCCAAACTGGGACCATGATGAGCAAATGTCTACTTGTGAAGAAAACATTCTCTTGGAGCAGAGCTCTTCTGAAGAAACACAAGGTGGGGAAAAGTTAGTCAAAATAGTAAGGTTAATTTATCATTGACTTTGAGATAGTCTATAATAAAATAATGAAACTGTAGTATAAAATGAATAATGGTAACAAAAGTTATTTTTAAGGAGAATGACTTAGTGTTTTCATGTGTCAAATCATTCATCTTCCTCTGCAACCTAGATGAGTAAATAAATATTATTGTCTCCATCTTATATCTGAAAATGAATAATCATTTCTCTAAAATCACACCTGGTATACAAGTATAGTCCACTTATCCTTCCATTCAGAATTTTTCTTAAATCTCTTCCAAATAAAACACTCATATAAGAGGTCTACAGAGATTAATTAACCAGAGTTAAATGCCATAAAAGTTTGGGAAATTTTTAATATCTTAGGAAAAGGGTCCTTGTCATTTGTTATACGCTACAAAGACCAACAATGTTGTGAAACTAGAAATGTTTCTAGATTGTTAGAAATTTGCTCATCCTACTCATTTTCTGAAACTACACTGTCGTCAGTGGCCTTAAATGATAAACAGGGTTGCAACAAAATCAGAAAAAAGTCTAAAAATTAACACACTTATGTTTGCATGTATTTACTGTCTATCCCACCAGCATACAAACTCTTCTAAGGCAGAATCTGTCTTGTTCTCTTGTATCTCTAGTGCCTACGACAGTGTCTGCATTGATAAATACCATGAACATAAAATAGGAAAAAGACCTCATCTATAGAAGCACGTCTCCATAAACTTTGGTTTATAAGGTGGCTACTGAGTAAGTGACCCAGGAATCACTAAAGAACATGTTCTCATGACTGTGAATCTAATGAAAGTCACAGCCTAATCACTGGGTGGTAAACATTTCTGTGAAGTAAAGCTAAGTGAATAGCACATCTGTATTTTGCTTGGAATATAGGAAAAGAGGAACCAAACAGCACAAATCTGCCAGGATTATACTATGAGAGAGATACTAAGGCCATCAATGTTTCTGGTCACTGGGGCCTGAATTCTTTATGGAGCCAGGAAAGTCTTCATTAAGTCTGGCTTCTCTTGCTCTGAGCATATGCACACCATGTTACTCTCTCATTGCTCACTCATTCAACGATTCTGAAGAGCTTACTATGGGCCTGCAACTGTGTTCAGTACTAAGTATGGGATGCTGAGTAAGATCATCCCTATCCTCAAGGAACTTACAGTCTAGTGAGGGAAACATCATTACACTAAAGCTTTGTAATATCTACATTGTCACAGATCACCAATTCAGTTTCCTGCAGATCTTGGCTTCTGGGAGGGATCACACAACTAAGGTATCCTTCCCCCATATCTTTTTGTTTTTGTTTTTTTTCTTTTCTAATGTATAACTTCAGATCTTGTGAATTTGGTTGATTTCAGGTAGTTACCTAGAACCACATAACTAAAACTTGATAACTAGATTGTAACTAAGAAATTAATAATTTCTAGAGATGAAAATTAAAGAATAAGCACTGAATCCATCAAGTCACTGGTGTTCCTAGGAGGCCTTTCTTAACGAGAAACCAGGTTCCTTTTGACATCTTTAAAAAATTTCAGCACAACATACCTCGTATATGGTAAGGATACAGGCCTGTTATGTATTATGCTTTATTATTATTAGTTATTAATATTTATTAAGCACTTACTCTATGCCAGGAACCCTCATTTATTAAAATATAAAAATTAGTACAACAGCCTTTAAAAATTAAACATTCAAACAACGAATAATCCACTAATATTTGGGTGTCAAATGGTAAATATTAATTGACTTCTGGTGGTTTGGAATTTTATTGGGATTTCACCTATGTAGGCTAATGTATCCTGTACCATAATGCCATATCAATTTTCTAGGTCCTCCAGGAAGCATCATACCAAAAAAAAAATGTTTTTAACTGGAACACACATTTATTGAGTACCTATTGTGTGCAAGGCACCATGCTAGATAGATGAGTAAGACATAGCTATTGCCCACAGGGAGTCTTGAGCTGAGTGGAAAGAGAACCAACTGGCAGTTACAATGCAGTGTGGGAAGTTCTGTGATAGGACAAGCCTGGGGTGCCACCAGAGGAGTTGTGGGGCCAGTCAGGTGAGATTCCCAGAGCTGAGATCCTATCTGAGTACAAAAAGACCAGAAGCTAAGGTGAGAATGCCCTTGTCTTTCCTTACCAGATTATTTCTCCCCTACCACGGCCAACAGGACTTCTTCCCCCAAAATTTCATATCCTCCAGCCCCCTTTTTATTTTATTTATTTTTTAAAAGACTTTATTTATTTGACAGAGAGAGAGAGCACGAAAGCAGGCAGAGCGGCAGGCAGAGGGAGAGGAAGAAGCAGCCTCCCCGCTGAGCAGGGAGCCCGATGCAGGACCCTGGAATCAGGACCTGAGCCAAAGGCAGATGCTTAACCGACTGAGCCACCCAGGCTCCCCTGCCACCTTTTTAAAGGTTTATTAAAATTCCTATGGGTGACGCACCAGTGGTTAACCACACGGAATGCAACTTCCCAGACAAAGAAGGCCTGCAAGGACCATGAGGAAGGTTTCATGCCTGTACTTTCTTGATTGGTGGGATTCAGAGTTAATTTTGGTCAAGAATGGCTTCTTTACAAAATGGAAACTGTCTTCTTCAAATCAAAGTGGTTTGCTACAGAAAGTATCTTTGTGTTTTTTATACTTTACCAAAGAAAAAGAAAAGCCAACAATTTATGTTAACTATAGTGGTTTCCTCTTTTTCACTGATTTAACACCCAGAATCACCATGCAACATTCTCTTTTAATTTATCTTGAGAAAAAAGAATGAGGATCATGACCCATATTTATGTAGTTTCTGTCTCAGAGGGTACAAAGTACTTTACAGACATTTCCAATTAACCCTGGTAATTTCACTGTGATCTAGATAGGATAGAGACCTTCACATGGGGGAGAGGGCACACATTACCAATCACAGACACAGTGTCAAATCTGGAAACACGGACAAACTGATTCCCCTGGGTTAACCCAAAGTAGAGGGAAAATGAGAGGAAGAGGGAAAGAGGGAGAGGGAGGAAAAAGGGAGAAGGAGAGAGGAAACCTAGATCGTCATCAAGCAAATTAGAGTAGGAATTTTCTATGACTAAGGCTGCCCACATTTATAAATAAAAAAGTTTTGGGGCGTCTGGGTGGCTCAATCAGTTGAGTGTCTGACTCTTGGTTTCGGCTGAGGTCATGATCTCAGGGACCTGAGATCAAGCTCCATGCTCAGCAGGGAGTCTGCTTGAGATTCTCTCCTCCCTCTGCCCTTCTCCTCATTCCTGTGTTCTTTTTCTCTCTCCCTCTCTCTAAAATAAATAAATCTTAAAAAAAACACAAAACTTAAAGTTTTAGGTGAAGTGCATTTAATCACTTTTTATTCTAAAACTAGGAGTGGGTAGCCTCAAGTTTTTATGTTTGAGATACAAACAGTACCAAACTATGATTATGGGTGGTATAAACTTTATACTCAGAAGCCTTGGACTATTTACAATGTACCCACCAACCATATCTATTAATACAGATTCATAAAACTGAGGGCTTGAAGAAAAGACAACTGAATAGAGTATATAAAAAGCAAGGTCCCCCCTTCCCCAAAAAGTTAAAAATACCATGTATTAATCGTTCTTTGTGCATTTTTCCTCAATGCTCTGATGAAAATACATCTTTTATGAATTTGACAAATATGAGAAGTTTTGTGGGCTTATAATTTTTGCTAACAACATAGTGTCACATAAATACAGTACATTATTACTAACCTAAATCTGAGCTTAATGAATAAGTGAAAACCTTCTTCCAATTTAGGATTTTTATAATTTAACTATATTTTTCATTAATAGAGCGAATATAGCAACACCCTAATACTAGACTAAAAATAAAAATAATTTGTCAGAAGCCGTAAGAGGTATTCCAAAATTCAGGCGCCTGGGTGGCTCAGTCAGTTAAGCGTCTGCCTTCAGCTCAGGTCATGATTCCAGGGTCCTGGGATCAAGTCCCGCACAGGGCTCCTTGCTCAGCGGGGAGCCTGCTTCTCCCTCTGCCTGCTTCTCCCCCTGCTCCCCCTTGTGCTCTCTCTTTCTCTGTTCTGTCAAATAAATAAATAAAATCTTAAAAAAAAAAGTATTCCAAAATTCAATTCTCTCTAATCTTCTCTCTCATCTTAACTTTAAACTGGATATCATCCATTCCTTGGGTAGTAGATATGCTTGAAGAAGGATTAAATGTTCATCTTAAGGAAATTCTTTTTTTCTACTTCATTTAGTTATCAAATTAACCAATAAACTAAAGTTTTATTTGATTGGTCCATGACATTCATAGTGTGAAAGTCATTATCTCATGAAATAGTCAAAAAACTTTTATTACAAGTTCTAGCAAAGTATTGATAAGGAACACACAATGCATAGGTATTTTAAATATGAAAGATAAGAAATCACAGTCCAATCATCCAAGACCCTCATGCCCCACCAAAAAAAAGAACCAACCTGATTTGTCCTCTGTGTCATCAAAGTCAACGCTGAAGGAATGGCCACTATTACTGATGATTTTGGCCGAGTTTGCATCATATTTGATACTAAGAGGTCGCAGGGAAGAGTCATATTTCACTTCTTTGGTTTTAATCTCAATCGGAGATTGCTGATCCCCATCAGCAATAGGGAAAAATTTATTCCAATGAATAGGACCTTAAATATATAGGACCAAAAGAAAAGGACTAAATAAGTTATTTCCTTTACCAAACAAATGCACTGTGCTTGAGTTGAAGGAAAAACAAGTAAGATCTTCATCTTCAGGACCTTTACATCTAATTTTTTTTACAACACTAGTTGTTTTTATTATGGGTATGAAAACCTCCTGGTTTGCCTTAATTCATTTGCAGCATTCAACTAACCCTTATGGAGAAAAAGCATGTAAGTTTTATTTTTTTTTAAAGATTTTATTTATTTATTTGACAGAGAGAGACACAGCAAGAGAGGGAACACAAGCAGGGGGAGTGGGAGAGGGAGAAGCAGGCTTCCCCAGAGCAGGGAGTCCAGTGTGGGGCTCGATCCCAGGAGGACCATGACCTGTGCTGATGGCAGACGCTTAACCAATTGAGCCACCCAGGGGCCCAAAAAAGCATGTAAGTTTTAAAAAGTACTTTGTAGGGGTGCCTGGGTGGCTCAGTTGGTTAAGTGTCCGACTCTTGGTTTTGGCTCAGGTCATGATCTCATTGGTCATGATCTCATGGCTCATGAGATTGAGCCCCATGTCTGTTGGGCTCCCTGCTCAGCAGGGAGTCTGCTTGAGATTCTCTCCCTCTGCAGCTCCCCCACCCCCACACACATGTGCTCTCTTTTGCTCTCTCTCTCTCTAAAATAAATACATCTTTAGAGGAAAAAAAAAGTGCTTTCCAAAGGTACCTTTCTACCAAACTACAAACAACAGCACAATTCATCACTGAAAACAATGAGATTTAGTCTCAGCTCCAAGAATGATCTGTGGTAGCTCCAGCAGTCAACAAGTTCATGGGATGAAAGAATTAATGGAACTGAGAAAGCTGTGTAGCAAAAAAAGGGTGCAGTTCTTAAAAATGCTATCCCTATTTCTTTCTTCTATCACTCACTGGTGTCTTCAGGTGTCACCCAGGCCTCAACTCAGTTACCTCTGATGTGCAACAGGCATACTAAGGAAATACATAAGTTTTTCACACAGCATAATCTAAATAAAATGGCTGCACCATGTCAGGAAATGTAATATTGTTGATTATCTTCAGGGGAGTCAGCTAACAATTTCTTTCTTTCTTTCTACATTTCAGAAGGTCCTTCTGTGGTTATTTTGCCAGTGTTACACTTGAATTCCAACACAAGAGACAATTGTCATCTTGATCCTCTATTCAAAAAGTCAAAATTGCATCTAGTTCCCAGTCGGACACATGTTTGGTAAATTGACATGAACCAGTAAGCGGGCAATTCCCTTGTCTCAACTCTTCATTTCTCTGGGAGACTTGATTCACGTTCTGCCTCCCAAAACCAAGAGCAAGATTGCAGCTTCAGGGAACCTCTAACCTATAGGGACTACTCAATTATGTCTACTATGCCTGCAATTTACACAGCTACCACCAGGGCGGTAGAGCACAGGGCTACTGACTAAGCTTTTCCCTATTTCACTAACTTGTAACATTCAAGTACTTAATAAAATGACACAGCATGACAATTAAACATTTGTTACTGACAACAACAAATATTTTTAAAGATAAGATTTAGAAAGAAATTTCAAAAATGCAAATATATCGCAATTATCAACAGGTTCAATCTCTAAATTTAATGCTCCTTATTACTCTTCAATTTTGCAAAGGAGAAAGCTTAAGCTCTTTCCTTCACATATGCTTCAGGTACAAAAAGTCAGAGCATGAATATATAACAACCACACACACAACTTAAAAGCTTTTCTCTTGCGAATCTGACACTTTGGACTTCAAAGCAACTTGAACATCAAAAGTTCTTGCCTACAACTTATTACAGAAAATGCATTACATTTCCTGATTTATTGACTACTCCAGTTTACCTTTCTAGTACTCTTTCTCTGCACAATCTAGTCCTTGCTTTAAGTGAAAAAAGTTTCCTATCTCACTGTTGCCAAGTATGACTTAACCTAATGAGAATTAGTTTGAATATGTGATGCATATATCACAAAATGTTGTTGACTTTTTCTTTCTCTTCCTAATTCCTTTACTCTCCTATTTCCAGTCTTTTATAACAAGAATAATTTTTAAAAGTAGAGGCAATCCAAAATAAAATAAAAATAATCCCACTTTGCATAAATTATTCAGTATCATTTATTAACCACCATAGTGGGTTCATTTCCCTGCCTTTAAAGAGGCCCCTTTTTAAAAATTTTTCCAAAACATCCAACTTTAAACCCATTTAAACATAGTTCTTAAGTAGAGATATATAGTGAATCTTCCATTGATTCAAGAACTTTTGAATATCTATAGAGACATGTAGTTTTCAGTAAGTGTCACATTCCCTAAACTGAACAAATAAAACTATCACAGGTTAATGCAAGAACTTATATGTTTTTGGTGAAGGTGGTCCCCCTCCAATGCCTCAACTCTTGGCGTTCCATTTTATCATTGCTACTATACCCAGTTTAAGTTTCCTTTTATCTGCTCATTCACTGCTTCTGTTAGTCTAAACAGAAAACAAGCAACCAAACTTGCCCAGTCAGGATTCAACATATTTCCAGTTGATCTACTTACAGGCACGGTCCTCAGAAAGCTATCTAAAAGCAGAAAATGGCCCTAAAAATTCTTAGCAGAAATACAAAATCTCTCTTTGGTAGTGGCTTTTCAGATATAGATTTTTTAAATTTCTGAAGATGAGCTCCATTGGAGCCCCTATTTTCTAACATATAAACGTAGTAAAGAGTACTCAGTACTCATTGATTGAAAATACCCTTCTTCCTAACTATAATGAGGGCACTGTCGATACCCAGTAACTATTAAATAACAAAAATTAAAATTATTCCAGCAGAGAGGGAAATTAAAAGAAATTTGTTTTGTGTTTTTTTCCCAAACATAAATTGGAAAGTAGCAAAAGTGTGAGATTATAATTATAGTTTCAGTCAGAAAGAAATTCACCTAAATTATACCTTTTATTATTAAAGTTCTAAATTTCACCTGCTGCCATTTTTAAACTAGCAAGTTAATCATAACTTCAAAAAGGCTACAATTAGAAAAGAAGCTTTTCTGTAAAATTTGACTGTAGGGTACTGTTCAATAATATATATGTTAATCCAAGGAAAGTATTATTATTATTGTTATTATTCACAGATCTAATTTTGACAGTGAGTCACTGTCAGGCTTTCTTGCTTTTTTCTTGCAGTTATTTCAAATAATGGTTATTTTGATGATTTAGTATATAGAAGAAGTATACATCTTATTATTACTGACACTGCCATCAATAAATACATGTTCACCAACGTGCTAAAATTTGAACAATCCTCTGTCTCCGCAAGGATGAGTGTGGGAAAGGGAGAAAGAGTGAAGAAGTAGCCCAAAGTATAACTTCATTTTTTTTGAGAAAGAACTTAAATCTTCCTAAAGCTAACAGTACCAAACTGCCATGGCAATATTTTATAGTAACAGCTATTAAGAAAATTGCAGTATTTTGGTTGCCAAGAAGGCAACTTAAATCTTCAGGGTTGCAATTCAATTATTAAAATTTAAGTATAGCTTCAAATGTTTTCCATGACTTGTTTCCTCCAAGTGAATAGTGAACTTGTCCTCAATTCATTAAAGTATGTCATCAGACTTCTAATCTCCGTGTCTTTAACTGATAAGTAGTTGTTACTAGGGAAAGTCCTTGGCTTTTCAAAGAAAGTGAATGGACATGTAACGAAGATTTCGGGGTCTGGGAGTCTTCACAGGGCTAACGCACACCAACTCTCACCCCCACGATCAACACCCTCCAAATAACACTTTTCCCGTCTACACAAGACTAAGCCTTCCCTCCACTTCCTGCATTCAGCTCTGGGGAAAGCTGCCCAATTTAAAGAGGAACCAAAAAGTTTCTCCCAAGTGCGGGATCAGCAGTGTGTAGATCCGTCCCCCACAGCCACCCCCTGAGCAAAGCCCTCCCTCGGATCTGCAGAAAGCGCTCACCGTTGTGTTCGCCGTAACCCCAGCTGAGCCGCGACATAGTCCCTCGGGTGGGAGGCAGAGGAAGATGTGGCAAGGCAGTGAGAAGAGCGAGCGGGGCAGGCGCGCGAGCTGGCGAAGGCGGTGGCCAGCCTAGGGAGGGTCCGCCCGCAGCCTCCTGGCAGAAAGGGAGCGCTGAAACCCCGGGGCCAGGGCGCTAACGACCTCGTCCGCCAGGGGGCAGCGGCGTGCAGGAAGGCGCCCGCACGTGTGAGGGCGACCCGGGGCGGTGGAGCTGAGCGGGGTCCAGGGGCGCGAGCTTGAACTCCAGAGAACCAGAGCGGGCTTGATAGAGAGGCAGAGGGGGAAGGGTGGAAGGAGGGAAAGAAAGAGAGAAGGGTTTCCAGAGGGGATTTTCTGCCTTCTGAGTAGTCACCCCGGAAAGTGTTGGTTTGAGGGCTATCCTGGGAATAAATGAATCACTTGGGCCTGAAGCTGTCAGGCTGGAAGGTGGGGCTGCTGGTGGAGGTGAAGTCGTTGATGGTAGTGGTGGTGGTGATTACAAGTACAAAACAATAATGACAGTGGCAACGGCCACAGAAATAATGTAGCGGCTATTCATTAAAGGCTTCTCACGGGCCAGTGTCTGAACCAAGACGTTTAGCCACATTTTGCCATTAGATCCTCAACATTCCTTTGAGATTGCCCCAGAGGCTTAAGAGAAGCTAAGTAACCTGCCCCAGGTCTCCCAGGTAATAGGGGCCCAGAGTTCCTACTAAAAAGGGACAGATGTCCCTTCCCTTCCCCAGCCTGACTCCCCCGCCCATTCATCCTGTCCCCTTCCTGACTCTCAACTCCACAGGCTGTGGCTTGAGGAATGAAGGAACCAACCTGATTATTGATTCTTGGTCCAGAAGTTCTGCTGCCCTTTTGTCCCTGCAGAGAGGAAGGTGTTCAGTCCATCTTGTCTTGGATGCATGGTAAGCTTGCTGTCCTAGGGCTGAAAGCTGAGCTGAACTGACTGCAGAGCCTTGAATTTCTGTCCTGGAGTAGTGGGTGTTCTGGGCTCAGAGTGAAAAATAAAGAGAACTCTGCGACCTGCCAGGATTATAATTACTGTTCCAGATGCAGAAGGGTGTGAGTTGGGTCAATTTGAAATTTCAAATTGAACTGTGCAGTGTTATTTATGGGCAAACTAATGCAAAGAGCTTCTTAATGGTCATGAGCCTTCCATCAAAGATGTAAGGGTGGCTATTCAACTATCATCTTCCACTTTCTCTTGCCATCCACACAGCAGCTGTATAATGTGGTAATTGTAAGTCCCAGGAGGATACCTCTTTTGGTAACCACCGTATTGTTTAGGGACCACTAAATAAAGATCAATTTGAACAATTCTTCTGACCTAAATACCCCATAGTGCAGCCTGCACCTCCTTCTGCTTTTGTAATTTTTAATGAGGTTAGAATGCAATGGAAAAAAATTTTTATACAGCCATAAGTACAATAAACTTTATGCTCCTCTTACACCTAAGGGAAAGCACAAGCTTTCTCTTCCATATTCTCTGGCACAATTGGGTTCATTTATGCTGGCATAGTAGTTTAGATTTTATTTATTTATTTGACAGAGAGAAACACAGCGAGAGAGAGAACACAAGCCGGGGAGTGGGAGAGGGAGAAGCAGGCTTCCCGCCAAGTAGGGAGCCCCACACAGGGCTCGATCCCAGGACCCGGGGACCATGACCAGAGCCGAAGGCAGATGCCCAAAGACTGAGCCACCCAGGCGCCCCAGTGGTCAAACTTTTAATAAAAGTTTTATCTATATTCACTTTCACTACAAAGGACAAAATACATATATGTATATATTTATAATGTGAACACATATTGAAGTACTCTTCTCCAAAATATACAAAACATTCTTGAAACTCAACAATAAGAAAACAACCTGGATGAAAAAATGTCCCAAAGACCTTAACAGACATCTTACCAAAGAAAATATACAGATTGTAAATAAGCACATGAAAGATGCTCCCCATCATATGTCATCAGGAAAACACAAATTAAGACGATAGGGAGATACCACTACATACCTATGAGAATGGTGAAAATCCAGAACACTGACAACACCAAGTGTTGGCAAGGCTGTGGAACAACAGGAACTTTCATTCATTCATGATGGGAATGCAAAATGGTGCAGCCACTTTAGAAGACAGTTTGGCAATTTCTTACAAAACTAAACATACTCCTACCATATGAACCAGCTATCACAGTACTCAGTATTTATCCAAATGAGTTGAAAAGTTACATCCACATAAAAATCTGCACATGGATGCTTATAGTAGCTTTATTTATTGCCAGAACTTGAAAGCAACCAAGATGTCCTTCGGTAGGTGAATGGATAGTTAAACTATGGTACATTCAGACAACTGAATATTATGTAGTACTAATAAGAAATGAGCTATCAAGCCATGAAAAGACATAGAAGAAACTTAAATGTCATATTGGTAAGTGAAAGAAGCCAATCTGACTATATACTGTATGATCCCAAGTATATGACATACTGAAAATGGCAAAACTATGGAGACAGTACAAAGATCAGTGGTTGCCAAGAAGAGGGGAGAGGGGTGCTGAGTAGACAGAACACAGAGCATTTTTAGGGCAATAAAAATACTCTGTATGAGGGGTGCCTGAGTGGCTCAGTCGGTTAAGTGTCCAACTCTTGATTTCAGCTCAGGTCATGATTTCACAGTTGTGAGATGAAGCCCTGCATCGGGCTCTGTGCTGGGCGTGGACCCTGCTTAAGATTCTCTCTTTCTCCCTCTCTTCTTCCTCACACCCTCTCCCTCTCTAAAAGAAAAATACTCTGTTTATTACAATGATGAATACATTTGTCCAAAACCACAGAATATAAAACACCAAGAGTGGACCCTAAGGTAAACTATGAATTTTGGGCAATAAGAATGTACCAATTTAGGTTCATCATATGTAATAAATATAGCCTCTGGTGGAACAAGTTGATAATGGAGGAGGCTAAGCATGTTGGAGACGGGGGTAGAGATTATATGGGAACTCTCTGTACCTTCCTCTCAATTTTGTTGTGAACCGAAAATTACTATAACAGTCTTTCTTAAAAATTAGCAAAATAAACCCACAAAATACTAATGGAGTCATGTAAAACACACACACACACACACACACACAGAGGATGTAGCATGTAGGAGGTCCACTGTCAAATTTGGGACAACTTGGCCATCAAAAAGAATAATAATAGTAATAGATTATAACTTCCACTCCCCAAAATATCCATGAGTCCATAGTGATACTGAAAGACAAGGAGAAAGAGAGAAAATGCTTCTTTATGAGAGAATGTAAGCTACTAAATACAGATAAAGTGATAGAATCATAAAACAATCAATTTTGCAAGGCCAGTGTAATATTTGGTTCAGGCAAGGATCAGTAATGGGTGCTAAAACTTCTAGGTGAAATGCTATTGGGGATTAGGATATTCACTCAGCCTGGGATTAAGAGACAAAATATATGCCACAACCAAACATAATGTGTGACCCTCCATTGGATCCTAGGTTGGGAAAAAAGATGCAATTGGGGACAGTTAAAGAAATGTAAATACAGACCACATGTAGGTGTTATTATTGAAATGAATTATTGATGTTAATTTTCATAGGTGTGGTGATGGTACTGGCAATAATTTAGGAGATGAATGCCAAAGCAATAGGGCCGAAGTACCTTCATGTCTGCAACTCTCAGATGCCTCAGTCAATAATTGGTGAATCTAGCTGAGGGAGGTTTGGGTTCTCTTCTTCTACTCTTACAATTTTTTTTGTAGGTTTTGATTTTTTCCAAAAAAAGTCTGGGGCAACGGAAACCTTCTACTTCCTCCAATTAATGAACCATTAGCTTGCTAAATAATCTTTTATAACTAGGTGTGGGTTTTCTCCTCTGCGTCCAGGTTCATAACCATGAAGTGTACACAAGTAGAGGAAAATTAACACTGACCAGAGAACCCAGGATTCGTGACCAAACATGTGGTCATAATCTCCACTTCACTCTTGATTCAATTAGATCCAGTTCAAGCTTCCTTTGCAACAAACCATGCTTAAGTCAGCTCTTCTCTTCAAAGATCACACACTGTATGTTATGAGCAGCACTTGTAAGTTATAATTCTAGCCATAAAAATATGTCATTAAGGATGGTAACATATTAAGAAAGTACCAAAATATGAATTAATATTATTCTATTAGGGCATATATATACAGACTCTTCCTCTGAGATGCACATTTTTTCAAGGATTCTTTTTAGAAACTCTGAACATGAACCCAAATGGCTATTATCATCTGACTTTTCCTGAAAAGGAAAAGTAACTGTAAACTGAGATGAACAAGGTTCCTCAGTTACCTAGAGAGGCAGGCCACACACTTGGGGACATAACCCCAGTCTGCAGAGTCCCAAGTCCAAGGTGCTCCAGTCTGTGCCCATTTCCTTCATTCGAGTCCTGTGATTTGCATAGCTGGGGCTTATTAACCACAGGAATGTCTTATCATTTGACATGGAGAGTGTTGGTTTTATGGAGCTGATTCTATATGGGGGTTTCGATTTCTTTAATTTCCCATTCCTAAGGTTATTTTAAGGTTATCCTAAGGTTAGGATTGCATAATACAATCTCCTAAAGGGGCTGCAGGACTTGCCCAAGTGACGCAGGTTTCATGCCAAGATGGGAATACTCAGACTAAAATTGAAAAGGTAGCTTCAATGAATCACTTCTCAAGTCACTTTCCAGATTATAACTTTCAGGAACTGGAGCCAAATATTTTGTCCTGTATTGTCAGACAAGAATGTACATTGCCAAAACCCTACGTTCTACATTTTTGTTCTTTTGTTTTATCTCATACAGTCTTCTAACAGGAATGTATCACGCCCTATTTTATAGTGTTTCATATCTTATTTGAGCATATTATAAAAGTAGATAAAGCAGGAAAGAGAAAAGGAGAGAGCTAAGATTATTTAAAAGGAAATAAATTTGTATAGACATCAGATCAGTGTTGAAAAG